ATGTTGAAAATTCCTTTGTGATTCCCACGTTGAAAGTACGTTGCTGTAAATGACATCATGTAGTATAACTAAGTTGTTTACTATGTCGTTATGCAAACTTTCTTTCGAGTCCTTTGTTTCCTAGTATGTATATTTATTAACACATTGTAACCGCATATTTCCACATGAATTCTCTAAGCTTTATAGCTTATCTTTTAGTGGTTTTAACTTTTCAGGGCAAGTTGACAAAGGTAAGAACAAGGTCGGTTGATCGATTAGGGATTGACGTGTGAAGCTTATTATTGGTATAGGTATATGTTATATTTTTGGGTTGTATATAGTTTGTATGTTCCGGGTTGACATGTCCCCAATGATTATATTATGGTTTGTTATGTAATTATTAAGCCTTAAATATGTATTTTTGGATTGTAAATGGTTATCCCGTATTTTGAAGTTTTTGAAACTAAATTAATTTAATGATGGTTCGATAAGTGTTTGTTATGTAACCGCCGTGTTACAACTTCCCATAAATGCAGATCGGGAACTAGTTTTGACTTCTGAAAAGATACTATCCCATGGTTGAGTATCTACAGCCGGTGACTCTTCTCTTGAATTATTGGTTCAATGGGTTGATCAACCATTTCAAGAGGCAAGTTGGGGGTCTTATGACCTAATTCTTCAACAATTTCCTACTTTCTGCCTCGAGGACAAGGTGGCTTTGCAAGGGGGAGGAATTGATACGAATCCACCTATGAAGACATACTCTAGAAGAAATAAAATAATAGATAAGCATGGAAAAAGTCTTCCATAGATCTATGGCTACCTACAGCTGTCCTTATCTATCTACACTTGGTACTTCCCTTGTTTGACTTTCCTTTTTGGTTTTGCTTTAGGAGTCTGTCTTTGTTTTGTTCTAGGAGTCTCTTACCTTATAGTTTAAATATTGTAGTTGTTTTCTTCTTCCGACATAAAAGATTTACTCTTAGTTATTATTTGGAGCCTTGATCTCTCCATACGAACTACCTCTTCCCAGCTCCTAACACATTTACTCTTGCTCGCTGCTGTTTTTGGCTTTAAATTGAAGGATTTGCTGTTCGATTTAATTCCCTTCTACTTTTTCTGTAGCTATGCTTTTACTGCTCAAAATGTTTGCATTTACATCTTACATTTCCTGATTTTACGACCATCGTGAAAAGTAATGAGAAGGGCTGCTCATCCGTACAGTACAAATAACAGGGTCATAGCTCATTTGCACGACCATGTGATGAGTTCAAGATATAGTGACAGAAAGGTCGTGCATAGAGCAGCAGAACCATGCTGTTGTACAATTAGATTCGATGCACGATCGTGCATTACGGAAGGGCAACGACGTAAACTGCAAAAACACGGACCGAGAATAGACAGATTTCTACACTGCTGGAGTTTGAACTGGATGAGGGATCCCTCTGAAACTTTCCCGCACAGATTCACCAGGGTTCATTCAGGGGGAAAAGAGGAGCCAAGAAACACATGAGCATATTCGGAGAGGATTTTAAGGCCTGATAATCACTAACACACAACCAACTAAACATTCGAAAAAAGAGGGGGAAATGGATTTCTTTGTTCTCATCTTCATCCTATTCTCACTGCATATTCCTGAAGATACATGCATAGAAGGTAAATACAACAGTTGCACATGCACAAGCTCACATATATACATACTTGTTTCATATCCAATTGGGGAACACACAAGAATGCTGTGGACAACAAGGAAGAAAAGAAGATTATGCATTTGAGCACATAAATCCAATTGGTATCCTTCAAAGAAATTAACAAGGAGCTTTAATTTCATGGAGTTGACTGTAGTTGATTTGTGTCCATAGACTATAGTGTCCCTAGAGTATGAAGAACATGATTTGTATTTCCTAGTATTCCGTATCAATGAGTGAAGTAATTTTCATTGGGATTTAGTTGACAGTGAACTATTGGTTAGTTCTATTGAATGAAATTGATCATTGGATTGACAAATGATAACCATTAGGTTGGTTTATTTGCTTGAAATAATACAGGAATGGCTATTTGGGGGAATGCTCTCAAATGAAGTGTGAGATTTATTGTGGAAACAAGAAATCAAAGCTACTGTCAGAATATACTAGTTCTCACATTCGCATGTTATCATTGTGTTCATTCCCTGATTGCATATGCATGCCTAGGAATATGGATGTGTGTTTGTGACAGCATAGTTTAAAAGCTCTAGACGTGCAGGAAGAATATTATTTTCTGCTATATTTTGATTTACAACATAAGGAATATGTATACAAGTAGAGATAAGGATATAGACTACAACTCCTAACAATATGGGATAAATACTTATCTATAGAAGTTTATTTATCCGAGTCTATCTACAAGTATCAATTAATCCATATCCACATATTATTCTACATGGTTCAATAAGTTGCGAAAATTATTGATGCCTTTCTCGTGATGTTAGCTAAACACAATTATACATTAAATAAATTCTAGAATCCAATTTTCAACTAAATCTCATTTGTTAAAAGCTAATTTGAGCAGTAAACCTGAGTGTCGAGTGTGTGTTATTTCATTGTTTGTTTGTGTTGTTAAGTTGAGGGAATTATTGCTACTAAATAGGGCATCTAATTATTTTAGTCAGTTAGTTTAGTTTTAATTTCCATTTGAGTAGTTCATAATGTCATCAACTAGTTGATTTACTTTTATTGCACTTGCTAAACCTTCACAATCAAGAGGTTAGAATAATCCATGTTGATCAGTATCTGGTTCTTCTTAACTATATTACTTGTGGACCTCGTATGTTTGCGCGTAGACTTTTGTGCAAACACTAGTCCTATCCGGGGACTCAAAAGCCTTACATAGGCCCTCACATCTAAACCACTGATCATTGTTATTTAGTCATGTTGGTGCCTGTGTGCTCTTTCCTAGAGCATCAACACCCCCCACGTTGAGATACCTGAGAACTGCCCAGAACATCAGTTAACATTATTCTAGCAAATATATCAAGAACATAGGTCAACATGGAAAAGAGCAGTCCACCCTGAAAAATAAATTTATCATATCAAATATTAAGAAACAGTTCAATGTTACACCCAAATCTTCACTACAAATTCTTTCAATACAAATCCTTCAATTGTTTGAAACTCTTGGGACCACAACAAACTGACAAGATCATCTAGGTTAAGATGTAAGTAAACAGAAGATATATTCAGCAAGACACAAGTGTTACTTCTGACCACAGACTAGATGGGCTAAATCATTCATAATTGATAATACTAGCATCCACTTGCTCGATTACGATGATTCTTGACATGAAAATACTTGAATAATTATTTGGCATCAGACAGATTATATAATCATCAGTATTTTGGTGATGACCATGAAGTTATTAATTTTCACATGGCAAAAGTTTGCTAGCCAATAAAAGACAAGATCAAACATTGGGTGTTAAATGTAGTAATGAAGAACTGCCGATAACGTGAGTACACTGAAGAATAGAATACCAAGTCTATCATTGAAAAATTCGGAAGGATTGATGATATTTCAAGATCAAGAAGACTTTCTACAAGACTTCGGCAAGAAGCTGTATGAAGGTTAAGTGGAAGATTCCTTCTGGAATCTGACAAGGAGATTCATGCCACTGTACAACCAACAAAACTCAAGCTTTTGAAACCCGGCCCAGATCTACCAGTATGACTGATTAGACAGGACCAGCGTTATTACCAAGCTGATTAGGTTCCTTGAGTAGGAGCCTTCTAGTAACCAGCCGGAACCACTGGACTGATGGTCACAACCACCCAACCAGTCATCAGGACACAGTTATGAGCAGCTCAGGCATCAAGCTCTTAAGTATGTGCTATCAAGCATAAAGTTTGGCGGTCTATGGTACTATCCCCTAGGTGGTAATACCTTGGAGATCATGGATCCCTTTCCTCTTCCCTTCTCTAAAGAAAGTATTAAGAAAAGGCAGACTGTTGATTATTGACCAGTACTTGGTTAGTTAAAAGTACAAGTAAACTCGCAGTTCTTTAGATCTGGAAGGAGCAGAGTTGATCCCTGAACCTCAGCCACATGAATGTCTTCATTTTATTCTTAATCCTAGATCAATTCATCTCTACTCACAGATCACCTCGGATGGGAACGAATCAATATAGAAGGAACAAACTCAGTTGGCAAAGGGGCAGAACGACTTTGCTCAAATATAGAAGAAACAAAATGCATGCTCAGGGATGCTAATCCAGTCAAAGATGCATGACTCATAAGAGGACATTGTTGTGGTTTGCATCTCATAACATTCTGAATCTGGCTCTAGTTGAGTACAAGTAATGTTATGTCCATGCGGTTTCTCTCTGAAATGTGATCAAATTGCCTCACACTGTCACACCATCGCCTCATTTTCTTGTAATCAAATTTTAGTAACACTGAAGAAGAAAATAATAGAGAAGGAAGAAGAAGAAGAAGAAGAAATGATAATAAGCAAAAAAGAAATAACATTTTAGCATAATTATTAAAATATAGAACAATATTAACAGATGGACAAAGAGTCATTATCACAGAGAGAGAGAGAGAGAGAAAGGAGAACAAGAAGATTGGTTTCTCTGTTTCCCCAAACTGCAGCAAAAGAAGAAAAGCAAAAGGAAATGAAGTCCTAAGTTATAAATTAAAAAACCCGCTAAATAATAAAATTAAACTAATCATCAGTAGACCTTAAATATATCATAACACAAATGCTTAAGAAAAAACAAAACAAAACAAAAATTTACCATAACAAACAGAAGTAACAACAAAAATGTTGTAAAGCAAGCAATTTGCGTTATGACCAGCAAAATGATGGTATAGAGGCAACTTTATGTTGTCCCACGCTTTTATACATGGTACGTAAAGATGTGGAATCTTAAATTTTCGTCATTCATGCAGCAAAATATATATACCAGTGCTCAGGCATGCTACGTATGACTTAACTAAGCTGACAAAGGGATCAGACATTAAAACTAGTGAACCCATCCATTTACCTGGTTCTTGCAATAGCTTCCACAAGGGCAATATCCAGGTGTGCATTCTGTGCTGGTCAATACATTCAAACACCTATCTCCACATGCAAGGTCAGCTTTGCTGAAATCAAATTTGCATTCACAGACGACAATATCCTCTTCTTTTTGCTTTATCTGCCTACAAGCAAATACAGAATCTCTGGATCATAGTAGATCTACAAAGCTAGTCAAACACAAAGGTATAGATAATTTTTCCACATGATTACAGCTGAAGTGTAGAAAAAGTAGTGAAATCCACGTCTAAATTTACAAAAAGCAACTTATAATTCTGAACAGCACAATATTCAACCATAAAGAACGAGTGTATAACAACAGTGCAGGAGAAGACAACGCATAGATACATATATACATATATATGCACACAAACACACATGAAAGTTCACCTTTGGGATACTTTTTGCCAAAGTATGAAGACTGTTTTACAAGAAACATAATAACCAGAAATAAACATGATGTAAAATACAATTATGAGCTAACTGTCACTAGGCTATTTTTATGCCTTATACATCAGAATCCTTAGTGCTTTAACATCTCGGAAGTACTAAAGGGTTGTTCGGTTGTTTTTCCAGCAAGTCCTGTGTGGATTAGTTGTAGATATGAATTAAGCTAACATGTTGTTTGTTTGTTGTGCTAAATAAACTCTCTGAATGGTGTAAATGAACCACTTGTAACTTAGCTTTTATTTTTTATTATTTTCATTGAACTGCTGCTTTTGTATTATATTTATAGTATTCATTAAATTATGGTTCAATGCATACAATTGATATGAACCCATTTTGAGCTTTTTCTTGTTGAAACACATCACCATCACCTGCCATGAAACTCATCACCAAACTCCTTTCAATTTTACTTCTCTAATCTCTCAGGGTTTCTCTTCAACAACTCACTAATATCCACACCCTTTTTCTTGTTGAAACCAATCATCATGATTCAGCTGCTGAAATACACTGGTCAGTTGAACCACATAAAGTTGCTGAACCAAGCTCAAGCACTAAACTGACATTGGCCACTGGGAAAGCCTCATCACCTTGATCAAAATAAGACCCATAGCCTCATCCAACCTGGAGATCAACACTTTCCCAAAGTCCAGACCAAAGTTGTTGAAAGCTCAAGGCGCAAAGGGGTCCCAGAGCCTAGGCACAGGACTCAGGAATGCGAGGTGCATCTTATCAAAATATATAAATATATACACACACAGTTGCACACAACTCAAATAGCATTAGCAAGTTGGACAGATTCTTGATTAACGACAAATTCGATTCCTTATGGCCGGAGCTTTCTGTGATGAGATTGGAGAGGAAACTCTTTGATCATTCTCCGATTATTCTAAAGTCTTCAAATAGAGACTTTGGAGCGAAACCTTTCAGGGTTTTTAATGTATGGCTCGAAGACCCCAGTCTAGACCTGGTAATTAAATCTCGGTGTCCAGCGACCCAGTCTTCGGATTCCGACAAGATATTTAGAGACAAGATGAAGAGAGTCAAACAAGAAATCCAAGAGTGGAGCAGATCTAAATTTGGGCAACTGAAGTCTGATATCGAGACATTCAAGAACAAAACCACAAAATTCGAGTTACTAGCCGAGCAATCTGACTTGTTGGAAGGGGAGCTTGAAGAATGAATAGGGCCAGGACGCCTTGGTTGGATTTGGAAAGAAAGCATACATTAATAATGAAACAGAAGTCGAAGGTTAAATGGGCTGTGGAAGGTGATGAAAACAGAATTTTTTTCATTCATTGTTCAAGCGATAAATTTCGAGAAACTCCCTAGCTGTAATGTGTAACGGGGTTTGGATTCAAAATACTGGAAAAATAAAAGATGCACCCTTCAAGTATTTCAACAGCAAATTCAAAGAGAACATGGAGGATAAACTCAGGCCTAGGTTTGTCAGTTCAAAATTCAAAAGGAAGAAGTATCGTGGACAGCATTCTCGTGGCCGACGTAGCAGTTAATTCCATGAAAAAGGTTGGTTATAAAGCTTTTCCCTTTAAAGCTGATTTCGAGAAAACTTCTGATTGTGTCAACTGGAAGTTTTTTGGAAGACTTGATGCTCCAAACGGGGTCTGGGAATCGTTGATGCTATGGGATTAATTCTTGTCTCTCATCTGCCTCTGTTTCTATTTTGGTTAACGGCTTCCCTACGGGCGAGTTCAACCTTGAACGAGGTTTTAGACAAGGAGATTCCCAATCTCCTTTTCTTTTTCTTATCGCGGTGGAAGGGATGAACATTGATATGGAAGAAGCAAAAAATAAGGGGCTCTCTGAAGAGGTGAAACAGGGTCGAGATAAAATTGAAGTTTCTCCATATTCAATTTGCAAATGATGCTCTATTCTTTGGAAAATGGAGTCGGAAAAATTTAATGATCTTAAAAGCTTTACTTCTTTGCTTTCAATCGGCGTCGGGCGTAAGAGCTAATCTCTTGAAAAGCAAGTTGTATGGGATTGGCGTTGAGAAAGAGATTATCGAAGAAGCAGCAGCAATTATAAATTGCGACTCAGGCTCTCTTCCATTCACGTATTTAGGCCTCCCAATTGGATCTTCGATGGCCTGAGAAGCATCATGGCAGCCGGTTATCCAAAAGATTTAATCAAGGTTAGACGGCTGGACCCGAAAGCTTATTTCGATGGGTGGAAGACTCATGCTAATTAAATTTGTGCTGCTGAACAATCTACCGTTGAGAGATTAAGAAGGAAATTCTTTTGGGGTGGGGAGAACAGATCGAATTATCCTTCTTGGGTTCGATGGGACAAGGTTATTTGTGATTCTCAATTGGGGGGTTTAGGGGTAGGGAGTATTCGTGCTTTTAATTTAGCCTTGCTGGGAAAATGGTTGTGGAGATTCAAATTAGAGGAAGGGGTGCCATGGTATGGAACTATCGAGCGTTTATGGTAGAGATGGCGGATTTAGTGGTAGAAATAGTAGGGGCTCGCTTGGGGGTGCTCGGGGAGGGGTGATGAAAGCGGTAAAAGAAATGGAGGATTTAGAATTAACAGTCTTGGACTCGTTTAGCAGAAGAATTGGTAATGGGGCTGATATCGATTTCTGGTCGGAACGATCGTTGGACGGTGGTAAATTAAAAGCTAGATTTCCTCGTTTGTGCGCCTTGAAGAGGGTGAAGAAGCGAAGCTGCATGAAAGAATTGTTCGAGCAGCAGCAGTACAAGGCAGAAGACAGGAGCAATGACCATGATGGAAGATAGCAACAAACAATTGCCCAGTGGAGGTGTGTCTTTCATGTTGTAACTTTAGCTCTATTAGCATTAGTAAATTAAGGTTAGCAGGTGTTTCCAAGTGTTGTACACCACCAAATGTATATACAATGCCAAGGTGAGATTGTAGACCAAGGATAATAAGGTCAGCCTAACCGAATTATATCTATTAACAGCCTTAATGTTTCAAAGGATGCTAGAAGTCATCCCACGAAAAAAAAAATCAGGAATGTAGGGTATTGCAATGGAATGAAGGGTGGAAAGACAGGAAGAGAGCCTGTTTGGTTGCACTTGGGAATGGAACCACCCATCGCTCATGTAAGTACCCATGTTGCTATTATTATTGCATCTGCGGAGTGTGGCTAGTTAGTGGGATTTTGGGATCCCACATCTGGTAGCAATAAAGCATCTCAAATCTGGTGAGATGGAGAAGTATTCAGTGACAAGAATTAGAAAGCCAGATCCACCATCCTTGTGATATTCATGCTAACTTTCTGAGGTACTTTTATGTCTCAATGTATATTCGTGTGTGTGTGTGTTTGTGAGAGAGAGAGAGAGAGGTGTGGTTTGTGGAAAAGGGGTATAAGAGAAGCGGTAGCAATGACTGGAGTAGGGTCTGATTATAGGGATTCAGAGATGTTGGTATGAGTGTAGTGAGGAAGATGGCATTTTGGGGATTGAATATTAATATCATCCTTCCACATAAGTGAAATTCCAAAATGATAGAAGAATTGAAGAAACCAACGACAGATGGCATGCAAATACTTCAATGCATGACCAAGTACAACATATTGAACGGGACATTCTATTTCAGCCCCATTACTTACCAAATAGCGCATAAAATAACCTGGAGGTAATTATAAAAGATGCTCTTGGGGTGCTTTTTTCTTTGTATGTTTCTCGTTCATGGAACAGAATTGTGTATGAATGCATACTAAATGTGAGTTTTTTGGAGTATGAATAACATCATAATACTAAACATTCCAAAAGCACCAATTCAAATTGGTGAGGGCAACCTTAGCTTCAAATTTTAGTTAGCCATCAAACATCAAGAGTTGGACCCAATTACTGCTATAAATTCATGGACAGTTCTTTCAATAAGAGCACAAACATGAAGCCAAGAAGTTTAACAACGGGATTATCTACAGAGTTGTTGACATTTTGTATAACATTACAAATCGGAAGGTTTGTGCTCCGTAGGTTGGTTTTTTGTTTTGTTATCTTCTCCGTCTCTCTTTTTTTTTCTTTTTTCTTTTACTAGTTGAGCCAAGAAGTTTAACAACGGGATTATCTACAGAGTTGTTGACATTTTGTATAACATTACAAACTGGAAGGTTTTTGTTGTCTTCTCCATCTCTCTTTTTTTTCTTTTTTCTTTTACTGTTTGCTCCTTTTTGCTGCTGCTTTGCATGTAATTCCCTTGTATCTTCAATTTACATGGTTCATCCTTCATCCCCCCAATCCCCACCAAAACAAATGATTTCGTATAGCACAACACTCTATGACACCTGTTACAAAAATTATGCCATATTCACCAAACCTATTTGCTCCATGACCTTTGTCCTGTGCAAAATATGTTGTACGCACAGTGAAGGATCACAAATGCAGAAAATGACTAAAAAGCATATAAGTCAAGGATTTTCATAATTCATTGAACAAACTAATGATCATAAAGCATAGCAATTAAGAGCAAGAAATAACATACTTTCGGCCTGAACGTTCATTTCGAGTAATATGTGTGAATGGAGCCACTCCTTCGGGTAACTGAACCTTAGACGCAATGTTCACAGTGTCAATTGAAAAGAATAGAGAACATTTCGCAATATCAGAAATTCACATTGGATTAAGGTAGAATCTATCATATAAACTTCACCAACTAGACAATAAGACGTTTTGCACAACTCTATTCTTTGAACTTGAATCATACAAGTGTCAAGTGCATCAAAAAATGCATGCAAAGCTCCTCAGAGAATCAAGAAAAAGTAACACTATAAATGTCTTTAATGTGAAGCCTTCAGGAATATGGTTATAAGGCAAAATGCATAAGTTAGCCAACTCAATTTACTGTTATTACAATCATGCCAATATGACATAAATATTGGTGATCACATTTCAATGTAATACACTAACAAACTACAATTTTTTATGTAATTATATTGTGGAGGGCAACTTAAGGCTCAAAAAGTAAATAGGACACAATCAAATTATTGCATCAACCAAGCTTGTATACTACCCTTTAACTCTCAAATGCATTGCCTAGGCCAGCTGTCTAATAGACCAGGTATACGAAAATCCAAGCAAGTATGAAAGAATCAACATGACCGAAAGTAAGGTCCGATACCAGATTAGTGTTATTGTTCTAATTGTGAACTCACACAAATCCAAGCAAAAGCAGCCTGTAGTCTAATTGAAGATGCCATGTCATAATAACATGGAAGTTTTCAGATGTAATCACTAAGAATATTGGAACAATACTATGCATCAAGATTACTGGTTTCTACTTCTTTTTGCAGCATTAGCGAAAAATCAAAAACTTATCATCAATAAACGGAACCACCAATACACTTTTAGTATATATCATTGGTATTTATTGATCAAAATAAGTCTCCACTGATAAAAAACTAAATCTTTTTTTAAGGAAACTCCCAGTAACTTTTCAGTGATTATCCATATGCAAATGGGTATCAACATGTGGGCTAATTAAAGGAGAAATTGGTGATGTGATACTTGCATCAAGTAAATTGAAACATGAGCGACCTAAATACAAATCAAAGAAATGTATCTAAAAAAAGCCGTACTACAAGTAAAGAATCTGTGAAGGTCCATTAATTAGGGATATTAAATTGACAAAATGTATGGAATGGAGCAAAAAAACCTTTCTACGTCGAACAAGGTTGTGATCTGCTCTTTTTCCAAAATATGGTCTTTGGGCTTGTCTATCTGCTTTTTCTCTCTTCTCCATCAATCACCTAACAGACGATTAGGGATTGCATGAAATTCAAATGATTTTGGTTACAAAAGTCCCAATCCCTCTTTAAATGCATATCCAAAATTAATTGGGAAGGTGAACCTAGTTGGGGAGATTGGCTAATATTATTTTCTTTAAATATCATATGAAATAACACTATTTGGGCCTATGAACTTGGAGCCAATTTGAAAATAGGCTTATAAAATTTATTTATTTTGTGAAACGGCCCATAAACCTCGGGATAAGCTTCGTTTACTACTAAGCCGATCAACTTACCTATTTTACGGCTAAAAGAGTGCAAAATTCCCATTTACCCCCTGATAAAATCACGTGTTTTGCACATGAATTCAATTTGCTAAATTTTTTAATTAATAGATGGTTAAAGATTAAAACACATATCTCATTCCTTTCATCTTCTTAGTATCTTCAGCTTCGTCTTCAAAGAACAAAACCAAATATATATATATATATATATATATATATATATATAACAAGTTAAAAACAATCATCTACATCTTCCATCCATATATGTCCTATTTTCCTTATCCAATTTCATCAACGCCTTTTTAAGTAATGTGCTGACTTCTTCATATTTCCAAAACTCCCTAGTAGCTTTGGATTGTGTAGTCTAAAGGGTGTTCCAAATTAAGAAATGGTGAAAATCAATAGAAAACCCCAGTTACGAAATTATATTCATCCACATAAACCCAACAGCATAGTCTTAGGTATCATCAATCAGTTAATAGTTTTTTAACCAAAAAATAAACATGTAAGGAAACATTTCCTATTGAGGGCTGCATCTTGAATTGTATGCTAAAAAGAAACACATCAATTCGCTGGTTGCTACTTGATATGAATCCACTGCATTCCCTAAACCTAAACTCACTGATTTTTTACTACTCCCAAATACTTATCATCAGTCTAAAAGTCGGCATTGTTGGATACCCTTCCCACATGAAAAGAGTCCCATTTGGGATCAAATAACACCATGTGTGAGTTATCAATCTGAAATGGAATACAAAATTCAACTTGATAATTCTCAAAAACAATACCACCAGAAAGCCAATTAAGAAACCCAAAAAAAAAAGCACACATTCCAAAATCCACTAAATAATAATAACCCACGAATTAATACAATCCAGTTTCGAATACTTACATGGATTCTGTTGAACTCAATCTCCATTTCCGCCACTAAGAGAAAAACACCCACCTCAGACACTTGCTCTAGGGTTTGATATTGCAAATTCTAAAACAATAAAAGGTAGATTAAAATAGAGCAATTTCTTAAAATCCAACACATTTTTATCTATTTCCTATAAAAACTGTTGAAAAAGATGTAAGTTAACCGCATGATTTTTCTCTAGCGTGACGGTTGGGATCGGCGATAAGGATTTTGCAGATTTTGGTGACTTATCTGACAGAAAGGAATATGGTTTGCTGTTGCAAAAACTTTGGCGCTGCGATTCAAGTGTCTGCTTCGTAAGTTCCTTGGCAGTTCCGATGAGGCCCCTGGAGACTTATAAAATTGATTGATTCAAAATCTCTCAGAAAAAAATTGCATATATTAGTAAAATATGCTATATATACTTAGGGGTGTTTGGGTTTGGGGTGTTTAGGATTGCTTATAAAAATAACTTAAAGAACCTATTTCGGTGTGCATCGATAACAAATATTTTTGAGTGTTCGGATAAATAACTTTTACCGGTGTCAAACCGATAATAAGGAGTTTTTTGAAGAAATTAAACTTTTCTAGCTTATAATAAGTTGATAAGATAAACCATGAAACACAAATTTGCTTTTTCTTCTTGTGTATTGTTAGATGAAGAAGATGATTCAACCCAATTATGTTCTTCAGCCATCATACCCTTATCCTTTCTTATGAAATTTTTTGATAAAATTGTTTCATATAATACTTTTTTTGATAAAGTTGTTTCATATATGGTTATGAAATTGTTTCATATAATACTTATAAAATTTTAATGAAACTGTTTTATGTATTTCTCTAAAATGTTCAGATTGTAGATCTAATCCAAGGATTGAGAATTGGTCTTATGAGTCTCACGAAAAACCATTTCTCTCACATGATCCCAAGTCTATATATATATATATATATATATATATATAGGGACAAAATCAAACGTTAACCAAAGTTTTTGTGTTAACTTTGCAAACCATATCAACCAATCATAATCTATTTTTCTATTAGGTTTCTATCATGTTCACAATTTAATGTCAAGGGTAATTGAGTAATTTCATTTGCTATGTAACTCCCATATCATTAAAGGGGAGTTACTAAATCATAAAATCCCTAAAAACATACGCTTATAATATTGATATTTTTATTTATTTTTTAATCTTGATCTTCCATTTTTATTGTTTTATGAGTTTTTGATTCGTGAAGGAAACACGGTAGTTAAATTTTTTCAATATCGTTCAAGCTATTATGGATAAACGCATTGAGAAAAAAATCGACAACATTGAGAAGATTAAAATGGTTTATGGTGACAATTGGAGTTCGAGTTCGGAAAGTGAAGAAATTAACCAAAGCGAATGTCTTGGTAATGAATTAATATTTTATTAGGCTCGTTTTAATCGAAATTATGTTTATTATGATGTGTTTTTTTTTTGTAGTTCATATTGCGTTGATAACTTTTTTCTTTAATTATTAATACGTACCTTATTCACATGTTCGGATGGAAGTACATGCACGACCCATTTTCATATTGTCATATTACCGACTTTTATGAATTATGAACCATTGTGTTCATGTTACKTYWATCATATGAACACAAGTGTTATTTTTTAAGCTTGATATCAATCTTTATATTTGTGTAAGTGTTTGAACCCAGTGTTCATAGCATCGAGATTATGTATTCATATATTTTATATAATATGAACAGAGGATGAACACGATATGAACAAGGGGTGAACACATTGACGAATCTACAGCAATGGTGTAGGGGGCACAGGCCCCCAACAACCCTAGGAGTCATCCACTAAAACATTGTTGTAGGTTTATTTTTATTTTTGTTAACCTAAAATTATTAACAGGCCTAGGCCCAAAATAAATAAAAGTTAGACCTAATTCTAATTCTTGTCATCTCATTTAGAACTCTAACTTGAAGAAGTCATTAATTGATCAATTAAACTCTAATTCCTCTAACTTCTAAGTGTCAACCTGTTAAAATTCATTTTAGTTCTCTTGTTTTGTTTGCTATGATGCTAATGAATAAGTTATTTTTATTCTACTAAAATAGACCTTTAAGCCGAAAACCGAATAACCCAAAATCGTATTGGTTCGAAAGAGTTATTCGTTTTTAGATTTTTTTTAACATCCTTAAAAGGTGCCTCCAATAATAAAAGTTTCTGGATTCGCCATTGGGTGAACAACCACATTTTTACCAGAAACATATATGAATAAGGGGTGAACCTTAAACGGTGTGGATGCAATGCATGTATAAAACTCCAATTGACAAAGGATCACTTCTGAATATGTTTAATAATGAATGAACTATTGTTCACAAGCTGTTCATATTGTGTTCATATCTGTTTTTATTTATTTATTTCCTTTCGTATAGCAGTTATTCTTATTATGTTCATAAATGCTATACAGTCCAAGTTCATATATATGTCAATTTTTTGTTCGTATTTGACACAATGGTTCATATATATATATATATATATATATATATATATATGGGCAAGTTTAAATGAAAACCATGTCATTCTAAAAAACCGTGTAAACCAA